CCTGATGCTGCAGCGTCCAGATGTTCAGGCTGATGTTTCAGAGGTGGAGCTTTTAGATGGACCACGTTGGGGATTCATTCAGTGAAGAAACTCTCCTGGTTTCTCGGTCTGTCGTTGTGTTTTCAGTCCAGGCAGAGTTTCAGGGTCGGAGGACTTCAGCTGCTGAGCTCCAGACCAGTGGTTCTGCTGCCATGTTACTGTGAGGATCAGCTCAGGACTCGTTGGGTTTCTGTCCAGTCGTTCATCGGTCCATTATCTAGTCCTTCCTTCCTTCCTTCCTTCCTTCCTTCCTTTTCTTCTCTTGAAGCTGGAGTTCAGGACTTCCCTTTTTGTGTGAATGAACGTCCGCTGCCTTCAGGCTGAACGAGTTTGAACAATGCTGGTTGAAGCCTGTTGGCTCCAGGTGGAGCTCTCTGGAGCACAAAGGAGTTCACGTCGACTCTCTGCTGACATTCACAACCGCCAATGAAACCTCCAACCAGGCTGGTGCTGATCCAGAGAGTTCCTGTCAGTGTCTGTCTATGGATGGATCCATGGTTCTACTAGAATCCAGTCTCTGGTCACATTTCACCACCTGTTGAGGCTCTAACATCAGTAGAACCTGATGTGGTGAAGTTGGACCAATTTTTATTCATTTTAAGCAATTTTAAGTTGTTCAGGACGATTTTATGTCAGTTTTGGACACATTTTAGGTAATTTTCTTCAATTTGTTGGCAATTAAGGTCATTTTTGCATCATTTTTGGATCATCCTGAGTCATTTTGGACACATTTTGAATCATTTTAAGCTGGTTTTTAGTCTAAATATGTAAAACCTGGAACCTTGTCTGGTCCAACTTCACCACATCAGGTTCTACTGATGTTCTACTGATGTTACTGATGTCAATTTTTGGACAATTAAGGTGATTTTTGGACTAATTTATGACATTTTTGTGTCATTTTTCAATAATTTGGAGTCATGTTAGAGAGTTCTGAGTCATTTTGGACACGTTTCGAGTCGTGTAGGACAATCTTAAGACTTT